TTCCAAAGGGGGGGGGCCCCCGGATATCACCTTTTTTGGAGGTTTTTTTTTTTTTTAAATTTTCCCCTACGGCCCAGGCCCTGTTAAAGGGGGGGGAAGATTTCCGGTGGGGGGTAACGTCCCCCCCCCTTGACGCCGGGAAGTTAAGTTTGTATTTTTTTGATTGTCCCATTTTCACCATTCCCGGCAGGACCTTCCCCGTAGAGGTATGTTTTTTTTTTTTGCATGGATGACCCAAGAAGCCAAGTACCGTAAGAGTGGGGGGGATGCCCCCCCCCCCCCCACGGTGTTACAGCATTATTTTGTATTTGGCGTATTTGTCCATAAACTATGGGAGGGTGCGAACACCAACCGGTGTACCTCTCAGGAAAGCCCTCCACGAGATGTTTCCGAAACTACCGTGCCCTGTTCGGCGGTGGTACGGTACCCCCTGGTTGCGGAGAAATACGATACGGCATACGAAAACACTAACACGGGGGTGCAAGCTCTCCGACAGTTACGGTATTGCAACACAGTGTTGAACTGCAGGGGATCACTCTCTGGCCCGACACACACAAGACTCAGCCCCCCCCCCCCCCTGAAGCCCCCCCCCGGGGGCCCCGAACATGGGATTTTACGGCGTTTCTGTTTTCCACCCCGCTGAAACTGGGGTCTTTTCCTTGGTTAGCCGGGGAACGCCCTCCATGCTAATAACGAAAAACACACACATACAAACGGGGGGTTGGGTTTGTTTTGGTTTTTTCTTCTTTTCCACAGCCGCATCTTCACCGTTCTAGGCAGAACATTCCTGTCGAGATATGGTCGGTTTTTGTAGTGGTACTTGTGTAGATGGATCCAAGCCCGAGCCCGACTACGTGGAGGCTCTCCACACGTGTACCACCCCCCCCGCCCCCCCCCGCTTTTGTTGCCGTTTTCTACCATAAAATGATACCGTTCACGAAAGAGCCCGCCTCTATTTTACACGAAGGAGCCCGAGCCCGACTGCGTCTAGGCGAGCGTCACATACTCTCCCTTGAGAAAAAATTGTAAATCCTCAGTAGCTATCTCTCTTTCTTTCCTCTCTCTCTCCACACACGCCCCCCCCCCCGCCCCCCCACACACACCTTTTTTTTATAGGTGCTGTACACGAAGGAGCCCGAGCCCGACTACGTCGAAGCGAGCATCACGACCGTGATGCAGATCCACCTGTCGGAGCCCGCGGGGGACATCCTCCTTTTCCTCACGGGACAGGAGGAGATCGACACGTGCTGCGAGATCCTCTTCAGCCGAATGAAGGCGTTGGGAGACCTGGCTCCCGAGCTCATGATCCTGCCCGTGAGTGATGGAGACTGTCCTACAGTACAACAGCCATGCCAGAAATTTTGTTGTGGTTGTACGTAGAGAGCAGGTTTCGGAGTCGTGAGCGATCCTTTTTCCCCCTCCCCCCCCCCCCCCCTCTCTTGGGGAAACACTGGCCCGTCCTATCGAGGGGGGGGGCCAGGCCAAGACATTATTATTGCACCATCTCCCAGGGAGCTAGCTCATGGTCCTGCCCGTGAGTGATGGGTGCTGTTATACAGTAGCCCAACCTTTTTTTTTTTTGTGGCTGTAGGATAGATTTCGGTGGCGTGAGCGAACCTTTAACCCCCCCCCCCCCCCCCCCCCCCCCC